ATATTTTCTTTAATTCTTTATGAAATATCATTTCTGATATTGCTTCGAAAAGATGAACAGAAGCAAGATAAAGGATATCGAAGCTATCGAAAATATATAGACTAGTTATTTAAGCATGGAAAAATACTTTCTGATTTTCTTCCGATTTCGAGAACGAAAATTCCGACTTTCCCAATTTTTAGAAAATTTTTTCTGATTTTTTAATTTTCGATCTGGTAACCCTGACCCCCATCATTACAGACCTCAGCAGCGCATAAAAGGCTCTAGTTTTTATATAATATATCAATGATTTCATACGTATTCGGAAAAAAGGTATTTTACAATTTAAAAATAAGGCATCAGGACAAAAAATTAAAAAAATATATGTGAGTTTCACATTTTAGCTTCTCTGGAGCTGCGCTAACAAGTCTTTTTTTACTGATTAGTTTTGTGAAAAGATTTTAAAATTTTAAAAAGATGTCTCTAAAGGTCTGAGTATATTTAAAAAATCAAGGTTATACAAAGGCGGGGAAACCGCGAAATTTCGTCATGCACCGTCACCGCCCCGCCCCGTCAAGTTTTAGCACCGCCCCGCCGGCGGGGCGGGGCGGGACGGGGCGGTTTTACACCGCGGCTCGCTCATCTCTGTTTTGGTCCACGATCTAATTGATCCACAAATAGAGCTTTATCTTCCGATCACACTGATGATACTTCGAGGTTTTCAGATATGGAGAACTCGAATGTGTACTGCACTTCCATCGAAATACTATTAGTTGCGCAGTGACCAATAGAAATGAAGTTATAGGAAAAACGACTTTCTTAGGGCAAATCAAGGGAAAGAGTTCAAACTTGAGCTGTATTCGGCCCATGTCCTATTGGTTTGGCAACGCGCAATAGAAATAAACATTTTAAATGGTAGATTTCACAGTATAATTTTGATATTCAGACAGTCTAGGATGATTGATTTGTATGATTCACTTTTTGAAGTACACATAACTCTCGGATTTAAATCCGAAGTTTCCGCATTTATCTTTTTGTGTACTCAAAAAGTGAGTACATTCTAGAATCGGCCAGTGTGTCCGGCCGTTTACACGATAACTTTTGAAAGGAGAGTCTGATCACGATGAAATTTTCTACACAGCTTAGTCTCAACAATATCTCGGTCGAGTTCGAAGATGAGAATGATTGGCCGAGCCATTGCTGAGTTATTGCAAAAATAGTCATTTTCCCTATGCTTTCCTATGCGAAGATCGACCTATCTCCGCTTTCGTAAAAAACTTTTCCTATCATAGTCAAATAAAACCCCAATTATTATATAAAATTCGATAGAGAATTTTACGAGCTACAAAATGGTATATAAAACATAAGGAAACAAGGAAGCTAACTCACCTATTGCAAAGATAATTAAACGGAAATTGGTTCTGTTTTTGTCCACGCTCTAATTGATCCACAATTCGAGCTCTATCTTCCAATCACAGAGATGATACTTCGAGGTTTTCTGGGGTGGAGAACTCGAATCTGTGCTCCATTCGCCTCGAAATCCCGTTGGTTGAGCAGTAACCAATAGAAATCAAGTTATAGGAAAAACGACTTTCTTATACGGTAAATCAAGGTAAAGAGTTCAAATCTGGGTTGTATTCACCCCCAAATCCTATTGGTTAAGCAGTAGCAAATAGAAATCAAGTGTTTATAGAAAAGGTTTGCGAGGATAATTTTAATGTCCCCACATTCTAGGATAACTCATCTGTCTCATTCACTTTTTGAAGTACACATAACTCTCGGATTTAAATCCGAGGTTTCCACATTTTTATTTGAAAACTAATCAATATTATTCTTTATAAGTTTATTAATATATATGTATATATATATATATACATATGTATATAGATGATAATGTTTAAGATCTTCTATAGATACGATAAATATCTATAAGAAAGTTATTTTCGAAATAATTCAATAATTCTTTTAGTAACAATTTTCAATAAATGATATACTAATCATCGACTATCAACAATGATAAAAAATAATAGAACAATTGCTAGAATAAATAATAAATTATTGTTCGATTTTACTGAATATTGAGAATTTATTATTGTCATGATTGATTATTGAGCAAAATAACAATCATCTACAATATCCCAGGTCATTCAATCCGGCCTGTAGATCCTACCGGAAACTGTCGGATCCTATATCGGATCACATCGGAATTCGTCGGATTCGCAATTAAATCCGATCGGAACCCAACCGTATTTCACAGGATTCCTAACTAACGGATTACGTCGGAAAGGATCCGATTGGTTCCTGTCGCTACTGCTAGTCAGATAATGCCGTAACCACCAGGATCCTTTCACAGAGAAACGTCCGATAACGTAAGATTTCGATATAATACAGTCGGATTTCATCAGAAGTTGGCTGAGTCTGTTTCGATTGCACGAGGATTCAATCAATATTTCATACAGATTTCATTCAAGCATTCTTAAAATTTCCAAAGATTTACTAGAGATTTCTGAGAATTTCATCCAATTTTCCTCAAGATTTCTAAAGATTTTTCAAGGATTTCATCGAGATTTCTGCAGATTTCGCAAGGATTTCCTCAAGATTTATAAAGATTTTTCAAGGATTTCATCAAGGTTTCTAAAGATTTTCCAACGATTGAATCGAAATTTTGTACAGATTTCACCAGGATATTATCAAAATTTCTAAAGCTTGCACCAGGATGTCATCAAGAGTTTAAACGATTTCTACTCTTTCAACTGAGATTATCCCTGGAATCCAACAATGTATATACTACGATCCTTCTTAAAATCGCACAATACTTGTACTAAGATCGTTCCTAATATATAGAACTTAATTAACCAAATTGCAGAATTCACTTGATATATGAACGTAGAGACCTCCTTATATAGATCGATATCTGTAAAATAAAACGGTGAATGAAATCTGGACAAAATCGGATTTCCAGATTTTTGATTTTGTTGTTGAAAATTTGTAAATATAGAAATATCTAATTAATTAATTGATTAGCTGATTGATCTGTCAGAATATATTCTAATTCTTGAATCCGATTACGTGGAAAATATTACTGTTTAAGAAAAACGAATCATTTAACATCGGATGAACCTCGGGAGCATATTAGAAATTTAGTTGAAATATTAATGAAAACGCTTTTATAAGAGATATGCATTTGTAAAACTGAACGGCAAAAGTTTATTGAACGATTATTCAAAGTATAGATTTCGTCGCTATTCGATTTTTTTCAAGGAATATGAGAAAAACTTGAATGACAATGGAAAAGAAGAGAGCGATGATATTATTTCTTCTAGACCCCTAGCCATTTCGCTGAATCGCGTACATAGTTTACGGAGTATTTCCGATATGTGCCAGTACCTGATTCTTGTCGGATCTATGCCCTCCGACATGAAAAAATCCGATCAATGGAACTTCTGTATTCTTATACAATCCGACAAGTTTCGATACCAGTGATTGATCGGTTTTATGATGGAACCCGGTGTCATGTGAAACCACAAATTCCGGCCATTTCTTGACATCAGATTCCCCTGAATCCCATCGGAAGCGAATAGATCCTGAGATCGGATCTGACCAGTTCCGAATATATGAATTTAGCCGGAACTCGATGAATCCGATCAGCGGATATCAAAGGAAAACAGTGGATAGCATCAGAATCCGACAAAAAGTAACCGACCGAATCCGGGTGGGTGTGAGTGTGGGAACCGGAGAAACATCTACACCCACACCCACCCACATCCACACCCACACCCACACCCTAATTTTTGGAGCCACTGTATATTATATCGAAAAAAATCTTCTTATTTTATTAATCAATATAATATAATATTTGTTAATAAAAGTTAAAATTTAATTAATGATTTATTTTTAAAGTGTTTATCTTTATTTCTATTTCAAATAAATATAAGAATTTCATTGTTAATAATCATTTAATTAAAAGAATTCTAGTCGATTTTAAATAAAATAAATTAATCAAATAAAATCTGAAACAAAAAAAAACAAATAAATTGATATATATATAGGTTTTGTTAAAGTATGATTATTCGAGATAATATGGGAATTTTCTATTGTTAAAGTGTAAGGATTAAATTAAAATGTAAGCTATTTTATTATAAACATCTATAATAAATGATTAATCAATAGATTTGTTTTTTTTTTGTTTTCGTCAATTTAAAAATGAAAATGCCAAGTCTATTCTATTGATGATCATTTGAGCTGAAAAATGATAAACAATATTTTATATCGAGATGAGAATTAGCTATATTCTATTTTTTAAAACAAAAAACAAAAAACATTTCTTTTTTGTTAAATAAAAACTAAACAAAATGAAAATAAAAATGTTGATTTCTAATATAATTCTATTAAATAAGATAAATTGTTAATTAAAAGTGATAAATGCATTAAAAATAATGAAATTGAATAAATAAATGATAATAGAATATGATATATAAATATCTATAGATTTATATATAAGATAATTAATCATGTTTTTCTATCGATAACTAGATATATTCATTTAGAAAATAATATCTATATCTATGTTTTATTTCAAATGACAATAAAATAAAAATAATTTCTTTTTGGTTTTTGTTTTTTAATATAACAAAATTAATTAATTAATTTTTCTTTTTTATTGTTCTCCTTACTTTTTCGAATAAATCTTAAAAACGAATATAATTATTGTTTTAACATATCTATATTATAGAAATATTTTAAATAGAATTTGAAAATGTTTTCGTTTTTATATTTAAACAAATGTTTTATCGCATTGAAACAAAACAAAAAAAATATCGTTTTAATTATCCTTTTAAAATTTAATTAAATAACAATAATAAATAAATCCTTGTTGAAAATAAAATCGACAAGATTAATCGATTATATTTATCTAATTTTAAATGTAAATTATTTCATTTATTTAATTAATTCATGAAACAGATAAGAAAAATAAAATAAAATATATTTTCTTCTGTTTTGTTTTGTTTATTTATAGATAAATGGATAATATATCAAACACTAGCATTGATGAACAATCATCATCAGAATCGTTTATTAACATCGGTTTAAGTCGATATATATGTTTAATATTATTGAGTGCATTACTTATTCCATCAATATTATTTTCTTTATATATATTCTATTGGATATATAGAATCTCAGATTTACGAAATCGTCTCACTAATCATATTATTTTGGCCATATTCATTATTAGTTTTATTCAGGTAATTCTTATATTCATTATCATTTATTCTTTTTTTCTATTTTACACTAAATAAAACCTCTTGTTTTTTTGATTAGTTTTTCTGACAAGAGAAACGATTATTTTCTTTTTTTTCATAGAAGTTAATAAATGAGAAATTTTATTTATAATAAATTTATTTAAATTAATTAAATAATTATTTAGAATTAATTCATTGAATAAAACAAAAAATGAATATGAATAGTTTTAGTTTTTAAATTTAATTCAAATTCCATGTTAAAAAAGAATTGACAAAAAAAGTCAGATTTTAATCGATTTTTTTCGGATTAATAATCGATTAAAATAGCATGATTTTAATCCGATTTTTAATCATAAAAATCGATTTCGTCCGATTTTCTCCTGCATAATCGATTTTTATGATTAAAAATCGGATTAAAACCGTGCCATTTTAATCGATTATTAATCCGAAAAAAATCGATTATATCTAAAAAATTTATCAAAATCAATTAAACTCGAGTTGCTCCCAGTTCTTTGCATGGCCTGTCTTTCAGTCAATTTTCATCTTTTATTGCTTCCTAATACATTTTAATCTATCTTTACCTGTTTTCTAATTTTAATCTTTACTTACTAGATAATCGATTTTAATCATATGCCTCGAAAATAGGCGCTTCTACCGAGATTCGAACGCGAAACTCTACTTTTCCTATGAATTTTTCGATTCTTCGTGGAAAGAAATCGTTAGGCTGTTGCCAAGCTAGTACCTGACATATATACTACAATTGGAACTCCTATATAAATTGAATCAATTAAGATTGCGCAATTACATAAGTAATCGATTAAAACCTAAAATAATTGACTACGATTGATTAAAATCCATATTAATCGATTAAAACTCAGATAAATCCATTTAAATCTGTTAAACCGCGAGATTAATCGATAATTTGGATTCCTTGAAAAAGCAATTATCGTAATCGTTGTAGAAATAAAATGTGAAGCACAACCAACACCCATTCTCATTGACTTCATGCAAACTGAGATTTTCATACATATCACGAAACATTTCTTTGACATTATTCGCCCTGGACCGAAGAATTTCAAAAAAGGGCTCAAAAACTATTCCAGTTAAATCTTCCTTATATATGCTTTCTGAACGTGTTTTGAAGGCGAATCTTACGATCTGCATTCACATGGCTCATGACGAGTACAAACTCTGTTTCGAGTGTGTGTGTGGGACAGGGATCATGCTCTAAATTTCTACTCGATATAGATCAGCAGCAATCCTTTCATATTCTTTTTTACAATAACCGATTATTTCGGATTTTCTAGAAAAAACTTGATTATTTTGATTTTTCTAAAAGTAATCGATTTTGACCGATTATTCTCCGAAAAATCAATTTAAATCAGATTTTTAGGCTATTTTTTTTTTGTTTTTTACATGAGATAAGTAAAATAATAAGTATAAAATATTGAAAAATATCCTGTTTAAATAATAATATAATAAATATATATTTCGAAATTCTAATAAGATTAAAATTGTTTAATATAATGATAAAACGAATTATTTTATTTCGTAAATAATCCTATTATATTTTATTAATAAGAAAAAAAGATAAAGAAAAAAATAGTTATAAATAAAAAAAAGTTGTTAATTAAAATGATAAAATTAAAAAAATCTATTAAATAGACAACATGTGAAATGCCATTCTTACTTGAATATCTTCGTTATGGTCATGTATCATTTGATTCATACAGTTTTTGTAAATTTTGGATTGCATTCAATTACAGTTTAAATACATCAATTTTATTTCTTAATTCTCATTTATCAATTGAAAGATATTTATTAATATTTCATCACAATTTTTTGAATCGGTAAATAAATAAAATAAAATAAAAAACAACGATTAGTGTTGTTATTATTTATATTAAATAATATTTTAGACATAAAATGTTAATACATTATATACCAATGACAATATTAATTATACTTGCAATATGTTATTCATGTGGTACAGTTTTATTTGTTCCATGTATTGAATTATTTGATTATACAAGTCAATTATGTGGTGGACCATGTTTTCAATTACAACCATCAATTGGAACATTTGATTTAGTTTTTACGGTTTTTTCTCCATTATTTTGTATTATTTTTTTTAATTCTTTTCTTATTATACGAGTTATTCAACAAAAACGTCGAATGTTACAAAAAAATGTTTGGAAAAAAAATCTTGGAATGCTTATTCAATTATTATCAGTATCAATATTACATGTTATTGTTTGGTTACCAGTTACAATAGTTATATTAATTGCAATGACTAATTATCCTCCACCTGCAATTATTATTGAATTACAAACAAGTTGGGTTCTTATTAATATTATGTACATTGCTGTACTTATTAATCCATTAGTATGTTTTTTTGCTATACCAGAAATAAAAGATAAAATTATTTTATTTATTAATTATTTACGACGTAAACGACAACAACAACAACAACAAATTAGTTCTACAGGTAGAAATCAAATTCATCCATTATCAACTAATCAAAATCAATCAACTAGATTTCAAAAATAATTTAATCATTTATTTAAACAATATTTATTATATACTATAGAGACAGACAATAAATTCGGAGAATTTTAAAAAAAGTATTGTGTCGGATTTGATTACCTATTCAGACTTAATAAAGTAAACATATCATATTGTAGAGCAAGTTGAGGCGCGTACAATGGTATATTATAAATCTTGTTTTCAAAAAATTCTCAGGGAACCCGACTGGATTTATCAATAGATGGTCATACATTCAAATCACTGACCATTTTGGATCTTGGTATCAGTCAAAAGTATTTCTGAAAATAATTTTCCTATATTGAGTTTTGTAGAGTTTTTCATGGGCTACAAGATTATATACTTAATATCTTCGATCATTCTATTTTTGATAAATAAAAATGCGACTTTTCGATGATTGACTATCGTTTTTCACGAGTAATACCTGTCGATGAGTATTTTAATGCATCTCTGTCCACCACGAAATCTAATCTCGTTTTCTCAAAATATTTTCTAAACAAGATTTATAATATACCATTGAACATGCCTCGACTTGCTCTACAACATAGGATGTTGTTTACTTTATTAATTCTGATTAGGTGACAAAATCTGACACGCTACTTTTTGAAAATTCTCCGAAGATTTTGACTGTTCATTGTATGTATATATATGTATATATGTTCTTTGTATTTATCTTTGATTTAATCCTTATTTATCTTAATTATATTTATTTATTTAAATAAGATTTTCTTCTTTAACTATTTATTTAATTGATTATTTTATCATATATATATATATATTCAAATAAATATTTTATTCAATTTTATTTAAAATCATTTTAGTTTTTCTATTATTGAAAAATTTTCGTTTTTTTTTGTTCGACAAGATACATTTTAAATTATAGATTAGTCTTATTTTAATCAAATATTCAATATTAACTATTGCTAATTAATACAAAAAAAAAGAAGACTAATAATTAAAAATTCTAATGAATAATATAAAAGTGAAATAGGATAAAAAGTGAATAGATCGAATGAATTTATTCTTAAAAATAAACAAACAAGTCTTATGAAGAATTCTTTATAAAAAAAATACTAATAACCTTATTTAACAAAGAGAATATATTTATTTTCAACTTAATTAATATAAGTCAAATCAAAATTTTTATTTTCTTTTTTTTTAAAACTAAACAATGGTCAGATAATTTACTAATTTATTATTTAACAAGATAATTAATTGTTAACATTTATTATTTAAAACAACAAATTCAACATAAATATTTATATATCGATGTTGTTATTTGTTTTATTATATATACAATATAGAATAATACTTTCAGATAAACAATACTCTTCATTTATTTTTCGAATAATATTTATTTAACTATTATAAATAATCCTAGAACATTTTATTTTTTATATAATTAAATATATATCCAAAGAGAATATTTCAATCAATTTTAAATCATTATTTAATGATAAATAATTAAATAATTATTATATAGAATATTTATTATATTAACTAAATAATAAGCAAAAACATCATAGAATAATAAATTATTCAAAATATTCAAAAATAGAAAAAAAATTAAATCTTTTTCAATATCGTTCAATTAGTTTTTAAAATAAATCTGAATAAAAAAAAATATTACTTTTATTTAAATAATAACTAAATCGATTTTTCCTCATTATAAATATATCTTTAATATTCAACTATAAATATTAAATTAATAAAACAATATTCCGTCTTTTTTTTTTCGACTTCTATTTATTTATTTATTATTTTAAATCAAATCGCTTTCATCATATTAACTATAAATATCATTAATAAATCTTCTTCCATTTTTTCAATTGATAAATAAATCTATCAATCTTCAAATATTATTTATTAACAAAAACATATATTATCTATATTCACTGATATATTCGACAAATGAAACATTCTTTTTTTCCATTTGAATTATAGTCTTTTATGCATACAAATACCTTATTTAGGAAGATCTTATTACCTTTTCCCTACTATTATTTATATAGATTTTAATACATTTAACAAGTTTTCATCTTTTATTGAAGATTTTAAAGAATATTTCCTAATCTAGACAGAATAT